CGTTGCAGGCGGGTTTGCGGCCAAAGCCTGGACTCCTGTCACTCGAGGTTTGGTTCAGGGCGACCCGTTAAGTCCACTATTGGCCCTGACAGTCAGCGTGGCATGGAGCTCCTACGTCATCCAAGGCCCCACACGAGGCCTGATGTATGTGGACGACAGGCTTCTATGGCCGGAGCAATGTGCCAATCCCGCCCGAGCCATCCGGCAGGCGGTGGAACGCTCCACTCAGTTCGACGAAGCCTTCCACTTGGTGTGTGAACCCACGAAGTGTGCAGTCATCGCCGCCCCTGGCGACACTTCTCTTCAGGACCTGGCGGCTCAGAAGGGATACATGCAGAAAACTTCGCTTGAAATTTTGGGCATCGAAATCGACCTGTCGGGAAGCACCCCCAAGCCGCTCAGGTTGGTGCTAGATCGTGTGCTGTGGCGCCTCCGCTTCATCAAATACCTTCCCGTGCCCATCCACCGAAAAACTCAACTCATGTGGACTTTGGGGTTTTCGGCTGTCTTTTGGTGTGCTGGAGTTGCTTCCCCGGGCGATGCCGTTCTCTCCACCATCAGGTCCGAGGTCCTTGCTGCCTTTCGCAGAAGCTTCACTCCCGAGGTGCCGTACTTCTTGCAGCACTGCATGATGGGGTGGAACACAGACCCCTTTTTCATGCAGGATTACACAGCCCTTCGTCGTGTCCAGTCCTTCGTTGCACAGCGACCTTCCTGGCTTGATGAGGTGCCACTCCGGGAGGCCGTCGATCCGTGGTCGGATCTGTTTCCGGTCGCGGCTGAGGCGGTCCGAAAACACAAGTGGACCATCCTTCCTCATGGCGAGGGCCTTGCCAAAACCGATAGCAACGGGTGCCGCCGAGTTTTTCGCTTTGGATTCTCTTCCTTGAAGGTCCTGCGCCAGTGGTTGGAAGAAGAATACGTGCGGCAGGGCGTGCACAATGCCGGTCGCATTAAAACTTCGCACCCGGGCAGGATTTGGCTCCATCGCGAGCTTCGTCTTCCTGGGAAAGGCCAGCGCCAATGACTCCTCCCGAAGCCTTCGAGGTGGGCTTGCGTGTGGGTCCCTCCGGTGGTTCGCTGCATTGCTCTGTGCAGGCCAGACCTTGGCGGGCACGGCCGCCTTGGTCAAGACCGTCTCGGGCAGCTCTGGCATCTTTGATAGGACTATCTAGCGGCGGGTGGGGGGATGCCCCTCTCGTACAGGATGTGCCACCTCCGTGCACACCTCCTATGGTGGCTGAAGAGGCGTTTTGTGAGCTTGTCTGACTGTTGCCTTTGCTGTTTTGGGTCACGTTTACGATGGGGCTTCTCGTGCAGGATCTTCCAAGCCCAAGAACACCTCTCCTGGCGGCTCTGGCGTGTTTGCGACCCGGCTAGGATTCTTGTTGCGATGGGGCTTCTCGTGCAGGAGATCCCATCGCCGTTTTCGCCGCCGCCAGCCGGGCATTGGTTTTATGCCTGGGACTGAGACAAGGCACTCTCGGTATCACTCGGTTGCTGATCGCAACCGCCTTGCAAGGGTTCGCCGAGCGAGCCGCCGAGCCCTCCACCTGAGGCATTACTTGCGTCAGGCCTCCAGTCTTGGATGATTGCCTACGATGCAGGATGTGCTATCTCCGTGCACACCGCCATCAATGAGGAGACGTGCCGGGGGCTCAGACAAGGCTTCCTTGTCGGAGGTTCTGTGAATGCTGCATCCTTCTGCTGCAGGCTTCGCCGAGACGTGACGACCGGAGCCGGAGCCGTGGACGGCGCTAATTCGTGCAGTTTTGGGCTTGGGCTCCAACAGGCAAGATGATCAGAGGAGGCTCATACCCTAAAGCCGGGACCTTAAAGCCCGAACCCTAAACCCTGAGCCTTTGACTCCTGAACCTTGAACCATAAACCTTGAACCTTAAGCCCCGAAGCTTGCACCCTAAACCCTGAACCTTAACTCCCGAACCATGAGCCCTAAACCCTGAACCTTAGACCCCGAAGCTTGCACCCTAAACCCTGAACCTTAACTCCCGAACCATGGGCCCTAAACCCTGAACCTTAGACCCCGAACCGTGTACCCGAAACCTTGAACCCGAGACATCTGGAAACCGTCCACATCCGTAAGCTTCGCAAAGTCTATGGAGCTTAAGTCTGGGGAGCCAGGCTGCCTGCCGAGCAAGAAAGTTGCAAGGGATGCTGGGGTATAGTGTTCCGGGCTCGCGGGATCGTGGGTCGGAAGCAAGGCATAGAGCTCAGATTAGCGTGTCCAGGGTATAGAGTTAACGTATTTGGGGACGAGGAGGACCAGCATGGACGAGACCTCTTGTGGATTCTGGTTGCGGTAGAGTTTTGGGTCTAGAAAGCTCGGAGTAGGCCGTCCCCGCGATATCTCGAGTGGCCTTTTTCTATTGCCAAGACAAAGCAAAGGGATGTTTAGGGTTCGGGGTTCAAGGTTCAGAGGCATAGGCTTGGAGGCCCAGGCTCAGTTCAGGGCTTCAGTGATCGCAGGAGAACAGGATCGAGTGTGAGGGCAAGATATAGGCTCAGGGTCGAGGGTTCGGGGTACATTCTCGGCAATGGACCGGCCACTCGTGGAATGCAGCTCGCATCATGCGCAGTCTTAGCATGTCTTAGCCCAGCATGCAGGGTTTAGGGTTCGAGGCTTGGGGCTATGAGTACAAGGGGCCATGGCGCGAGCTGGTCTTTGAAAACGTTTCTGTAGCTCGGAATAGCTCGGATATCAGGCTCCACGACCGAGTCTGGGGGCCGGGAGGTTTGTGGGTTTTGCTTTGGATATGACATGTAGGCATAAAGGAGACCATCTCCGAGCCAAGTTTGCCGGCCATATGGTGTCTATACAAGAGAGACCTGGCTGGTTTTTGTCCGGAATCCTCCGAACCGCTTAGAGTTCGGAAGCACTTGTTGTATCTGCCTGCGGATGCTTCCGGTCCAATGCAATCAGACATTCGCTCACTTACGGAGCAGCCATGGGTAGACACTCTCCTTGTTAGTCCTTGTCCAGAAGTCCTGCGCCTGCCTTCTTTGGCATGGCGGGGTCAGGCCCTGCCACTTTGAGACTAGTGCTGCGACGGCAGACATACAGAGCAGTCCGAGTGGTGGTCTTCTGTGGTTTTCTTAGCCTGCACATGGTCCTCGAAATCCCAGACGTCCTGTGGGCGAAGCAAGCCAGGCAGCATTGGTGAAGAGCTCGTCGGTGAAGGCGGGCTTCTGTCGTGCTGTTCTTTGCACTCCTTTGCTATCCTTGCTTGTGTCTGGGCTTTCCCAGCCTGTTCTGGTTGTCTCTGTAACTTCCCGTTCTGTCGGCCAGGCTGAGGCAGGTTTCGTCCACAGCGACGCGGATGGAAGCGAGGTGCCGCAGGTCAGCGGTTCGGTTGCTTTGTAAGGCAGGTTTTCGCAGCTTGCTGGCTGCTTGGGCACGCACGTCGGGTCGCGGGGAAAGTGGAAAAGCACGTGCTTCAACGTGGGGCGGGGCTCGGCAGGGGCGGCTCGGGAGCTAGGTTGAGGAATGCGCTTTTCCACTTTCCCGTGCTCTGCTCGGGGAACCCAGGGATGCCTGGGTTGTGCGAGTCGGGCCGGGGAAAGTGGAAAAGCACGTGCTTCAACGTGGGGCGGGGCTCGGCAGGGGCGGCTCGGGAGCTAGGTTGAGGAATGCGCTTTTCCACTTTCCCGTGCTCTGCTCGGGGAATGTCGCAAATCCGTAAGGAATGCCTAAAGTTGTAGGTAGATTCGGTATCGTGAGGGGAAGTCTAGGGATGCCTGGGAGGTGCGAGTCGGGCCGGGGAAAGTGGAAAAGCACGTGCTTCAACGTGGGGCGGGGCTCGGCAGGGGCGGCTCGGGAGCTAGGTTGAGGAATGCGCTTTTCCACTTTCCCGTGCTCTGCTCGGGGAACCCAGGGATGCCTGGGTTGTGCGAGTCGGGCCGGGGAAAGTGGAAAAGCACGTGCTTCAACGTGGGGCGGGGCTCGGCAGGGGCGGCTCGGGAGCTAGGTTGAGGAATGCGCTTTTCCACTTTCCCGTGCTCTGCTCGGGGAATGTCGCGAATCCGTAAGGAATGCCTAAAGTTGAGGTAGATTCGGTATCGTGAGGGGAAGTCTAGGGATGCCTGGGAGGTGCGAGTCGGGCCGGGGAAAGTGGAAAAGCACGTGCTTCAACGTGGGGCGGGGCTCGGCAGGGGCGGCTCGGGAGCTAGGTTGAGGAATGCGCTTTTCCACTTTCCCGTGCTCTGCTCGGGGAAGTCTAGGGATGCCTGGGAGGTGCGAGTCGGGCCGGGGAAAGTGGAAAAGCACGTGCTTCAACGTGGGGCGGGGCTCGGCAGGGGCGGCTCGGGAGCTAGGTTGAGGAATGCGCTTTTCCACCGTGCTCTGCTCGGGGAATATAGAATGTCCTGAACAAAATCCTAGGATGCGTCGGCCGTGTCCCAGGCTCTCCCTCTTTGTGCTCGTACTGCCTGGGACGTGCTTCGTGACTCTTTGGGCATGGAGATGAGTGAGTCCAAGGTTAGGCCAACCTGGTCCGGCATCCCTCTGGATGCTCTTCCGCAGCACATCACCAAAAAGATTTTCGAAGTGTTGAGTCCCGCAGTGCAGCGAGAGTATATGGAGGTGGCTGCGACGGAGGCCGCAGGGTATATCTACTACCGTAAACTCAGGAACGGCCTGGGAAAGCCAGACGTGTGGGATGCTCTGACGAGTGCTGAGAAGCTTGAGTTCGTGCCCCAGAACCCTATCCAGATACTGCGAGCTCAGACGGAGGCATGGCACCGCCTCTTGGAACCTTTAGGCATTCAGCCTGTTTGGACAGAGCTTATGCCGGATGAGACCGGTCGGCCATCTCTGCACCATCTGGAGCCACAAGAGCTCCAGCTGCTCGTCTGTCTGCTTCGCGCTGCCCCGTCCGTGTTCCGCAGCTGTCGGGAGCCGTTGTGTCGAATGCTCCTGGATGTGGACCCTGCAGCCAAACCTGAAAAAGGCTGCTCCTCCGACTCCTTGCCGAGCGAAACCAATGGATGCAGAGCCGTGCATGGCCATCGAGGAGGCCTTACTGAAGCCGTATCCGAATGTCGAGCCCATTTGGGGGCAGCAGATGCATTGGGGGACTTGCTTGCACAGCTTAGTGAAGGAGTGCAGATCTACATGGGGGATTCATTGGCCCAGGGAATGCATTCTGCTGTGTGGCACGGCTGCTGAGCTGCAGGAGCCCTTTCGTTTGCAGCCTCTTGCCCGGCATGTCTTATGTGTTCTTAGCACGGACAATCACTGGGCCGTGGCAGCCGGCCGACGTGCTGAAAGGGAGCTCCTAGTCTTTGACGGGCTTCAGCTGCCCGGCATCTTGGACCTTGCTGAGGCTGTCGCAGAGCATGCACGTGAGCGTTGGGGCCAGGAGATGATTGTGGTGCCTATGAAGGTGCCTCGACAGGAGGACTCGTGGAGTTGCGGACATCGCGTGCTGGCTGCTAGCCAGTGGGTGCTTAAAGAACGATGCAGCTCGTGGCCTCTGCAGCCCGAGGAGGGTTGCCTGGCTTTGTTGGATTCTCAGGCAGGCGTCAAGAAGGAGGCAAAGGAGGAGGAGGAGGAGAGCAGGGACGATGACCAGGCTTTGGTGGCCAAGTCCGGCCAGAAACGGCCACAGGTGCTGGATGACGACGACGAGGATGAGGATGCTGACCCAGCACAACCAGCACGCAAGCGGAGGCGAAAGCTGACCGCCAAGCAGCAACAGCAGCAGATCATCGACCAGGGCAAGAAAAGGGCTGCCAAAGGGGGTGTGACCTTCAACAAGAACTTTCAGTCAGTGCACAGCAGCAACAAGGATGCTTGTCCTGAAGGGCATTGGGTGAAGTTCTTGACTGCACTTGGCAAGCAGAGCAGCTTGAGTTGCAAGTCGTGCCGACAGCTACGTGACTTGATCCAGGCTCCTGCTGGCCAAGAAGTCGTACCTGTGCAGGCCGAGCAGGCAGTCGTGGCTGCTCGGCCTTATTCAGGATCTGGCCGGCCACCGGGTGGCTCCAAGGCTACAGCCTTGGACTCGTGGTTGGCTCGGGAGAGGCCAGGCATCTACACCCATGTGACAGGAAGTGTCTGGTGGTGCCGAGCCTGCAAGATCGAGTGCAACTTCCAGCGATCTAGTCAGTCCGGCGCGAAGTATGTGAGGGGCCACGAAGGTCCGACACATCGGAAAATGCTACGAAATATGCAAACTCAGGACGCCAAGCCCGAGCAGTGTCGTGGGGTTCGTGTCGGCAAGAAAGACAGTCTGTCCCTGGACAGGTTCCAGGAGTCCATTGAAACCTGGGTCAGAGCTGGGATGCTACGCACAGTGGACCCCAAGCATCCGGAGAAGGATCCTTTGGAGGCATGCATGTTCTATTGGGAGCAGGAGGTTTTGGTCATGAAGGCCAGGGCATGCAAGGGTCACGGCCCCATATGTCCGGAGTGCCGCAACCTGGCAGACAGGGCCATGCTGCACCGAGCCATCTGCAAATGGGCCTGCATCATCGACCAGGCCCACTTGGGCCAGCAGGTGGTTTATGGAGGCCGCGAGGATGTGATGCAGGCCAAGGAGAAGATGTTCAACTCGGACTACTACACCTGGAACGACATCCGCAGCGAGGTGGACAGGTATCTGGCGATAGATGACCACTTGTCCCTGCTGATGGCGATCAAGCGGAGGATGTGCTCCATCCCTTACGGCCTCCGAACAAAGGCATTGGCGGAATGGTTGGAGGCGAACATCCTCAACTTGCGGTACACTGAGGCGCCCGAGGCAGAGATGCAGGCTCTGAAGCAGCTCTGCAAGCAGTTCCGTGGCAACATCGTGGACGGTTCTGTGGAGAAGCGAGATTTGGAGGTAGTAGCTGCCGGGGGTTTGGCTTCCAACCGAGTGCTGGGTTGCTTGGTACACTCCTTCTTCGACATGCAGACTCGGTTGGAGAAAGGGCACACGGCCCGCCCCCTCAGCGGTCGGCATCTGGACGACGACACCTTTGAGGAGATCTACTTCATGCTAGGTGTGTCGGCCCAAGCCAAGGACCTGCTGGCCAACTTCGGCGTCTCCTTGGGGCGCAAAGCGAAGCTGGACTTCCAGCACCCCATGCTGCCGTGGCCCTTCCTGTCGATGGAATCCGAAGCAACCCTCGATCACAATGCAGATGCCATCGTCGAAAGGTTGCAGGTGCATCAGCGGAGAAGCTTCTTCCTGTCGGTGGATGAAACCTACTGGCATCCATCCTGGCAGGTGATGTCTGGCTTGTGTGGCCCCGAAACTCGCACGGTCATAGGGGGATACTGGACCTCGGACCCCGAGGACTGTTATGCCAAGCTTGAGAGTGCTAAGGGTTTGCAAGACTCCCGCAAAGCTCGCATGTCCGTACACTATACGATCAGTCGAAGCGACACACTGCAGCAGAGCTATGACGCTTGTATGGTGCCGGTCAAGGCGAAGGACGGCCAGAAAAGCAGGAACCAGCTGGAAATCTGTGGACAGCTGTTCGAGGCGTTTGCCCGGCGAAATGCTGGGTGCTTGCCTATCGGCATTGCGTTTGATGGAGGATCGACGAACGTGGAGCTCAGCAAGCTCACCCTGGGGTTGTTGAGCGAGGAGGCTTTGGCTTCATGCACGTTTTGGTGCAACTGCAGCTATGAGCCAATGCAACTGAAGCACCTTCCCTTCAAGATCCTGCACTTCAAGGGCAAGCCCATCTTTGGGTCCCAGGACTCGCTCCACTTCTTGAAGCGGTACACGCTTCACCATTGCTCGGGGACACGCTCTGTGGAATGGGGAGCATTCACGGTCGACTTGAGCTGCATGCTATGTCGTGGATTACCGTGGAAGGCTTTTGTAGGCTCCGATGGCATGTGTGACAACGATGCACTCATGCGTATGAACGGAAGGTTCCTTCGCTCGTCCTGGGACTGTGCAGCCTGCCATCTCTATGCGCTGGTGGGTTCCCTGCTATCCAGCCTGGGGCAAGGATCGGATGGGCTGCCAGCGAGGTCGAGGTTCTTCACTGCCTCCAGCTGCTACTACCTTTTGCTCTTGAACCTACAGGCTGCTCGGCTTGGGCATGGGAGCTCTTGGAAGCAACGATTCCTTCCATTGACCACCATCCGCATCGGCATCAAGATCTGCGTGCATGCCATGCAACTCTGCATGAAGCTTCCCGAGGACTGCCCGCTGCGGGCTTCCAGGTTCCAGGAGCGGGCATCAGAGCTCTTTTTCTCGAGAGCCAAGAAGGACTACAGAGGCAGTCCTTCGTGCCGGGATGGCATTCTGGGAGTGCACAAGACGCACTTGAGCCAGCTCAAGGAGGACATCGACCCGCCAAAGGTGGAGCATGATGTGGTGACTTTGGACCAGGCGCAACGTCTGCATGCTGAAGCCTTCACCCTAACCTGCTTGTTTCAGTCCTGGATCAGTGTGGGAAAGTCCAGGGCCCTGGTGGCATCCAACTTCGAGCTTTGGTACAAAACCGAGGGCAAGAAGCTCGTTGTCGGCGCCGTGAGATCGCAGGACCATGAATGACGAGGAGCTGGCGATCGATCTGGGAGTACACGAGGACCTGCCTCCGGAGGAGACCACCATGGATGAGTCCCAGGCGGAGGTGCTTGCAGCTTTGCATGCTGTGGAGGACCACAAGTCCATGAAGGAGAGCCTGCAAGCATTGGCCGAAAACCCGGAGAAGCCCAAAGATCCAGCGAAGGACATGATAGCAGCTGAGACCGAGCAGGAATGCAACAGCTGGCGGAGAGTCCTGCACCAGTGGTCGGACTCGGAGGTCATGGAGATGACTGAGGACAGCTCTTACCAGGCATGCCTGGACCGCATCCACTTCATGATGCCACGGATTCGGTGCTTCATTCAATCGATCAGGCTGCGGGAAGGCCTGCTCAGCAAGGCACAGATCCAAGGGCAAACCAAGGAGCTGTCTCCGTGGCACAGCTTGCAGCACGAGTTAGCGGTGGCCCGTGCAGCATCCATGGAATGCGGGAGCCGGCAAAGCCGCTGCGCTGCATGGCAGCAGGTGGCTGCCAAGGCGTTGCAGGGCACAGCTCAGCCGGGCGTTGCAGAGGGAGACGGCATTGTCAAGCCACATGTAAAGAAATAAAAAAAAGATCTCTGCTTTCCATGTTTTTTTGTTTTCTTACCGGAGAGGGGGGGGGGGTTGGGGTCTAAGGTCTAGGGGTTTAGGATGTACGGGTTAGTAGGCATGCTTTTTTTTCTGCCATGTGAGGTTGCAGCACCTGTGCCCGCGGAAGCAGGATGAGAAGCCGCAAGTGGTGGTGTATGTGAGCACTGAAAAGTCCGAGAAGAGGGTCAGCTTGGCCCTCGTGCTGACAGTGTTCAGGGGAGCCCTGCTGAAGGGCAAGGAAGGCAGTGACAAAGCTCCTCGAAAGCTGAAGGTCTGCAAGCCAGCTGTGTATGCCCTGCCTGTCCAGAGCATCAGTGCGTGCAGGGTACTCCACCTGACGGAGACTGGCCATCTCAAGTACTTCGCTTGTGCTCTGAGCCCAACTGAGCTTCTGTGCCCAGCTGCACGAATCCTGGGGCATCTCCCTTGTGCCACCTGCGAGATGTCCGAGACGAAGATCCGTGTCAGCATCAGCGAGGCTGCACACTTGCAGATGCAAGCCCTTCAGGAGAAGCCCGAGCTCCTGGCGGCAATGCCGAGCAGCGCCGATGCAATCGCAGATGCCGGTGCAGACGATGACACCGCTGAGTTCGAGAGCGAGGAGCAAACGTACAGCGCCTCGGATTTCACAGCATCGATTGCAGGCTCGCAGAAGATCGTGGCTTTCCTGACATCGCTGCCTAAGCAGTGGAACGACAGGGGTGTGCCGATCGTCGACGAGCAGAACAAGGTCAGCGTGCAGGGCACGGATCATCCATGGAAGCACATCTGTCTTCGTGCACCAGAATTTCTGGACAATGTGTACAGCGGCCCACCGAAGGGATACGGCAGGTTCGTGGTTGCCCAGCTTATGCAGATCATCCCTGCAGGGGACCTCCAGGCTGCGAAAAAACGCTTGAAGGAGATGCTGGTTAAGCTAGTGGCCAACAGCTTGCCCGTGCCCGGGCCTCAGCCGGAAACCGCCACCACCATATCAAGCTTTGAGCTCTCGGGTCTGAGGCTGGTGGCGCCTTGAAATTCGAGAGTGTGTCGTACGCCCGGCGCTCATTTCTGTCGCAGCTGAGTTTACGTCATGCCTTCGCCGTTCCTCGCACTTCCTCGCTTGCCCAGGTGGCGTCTCCGAGTGAGGGATTCGAAAACCGAAGTCACGTGGGAGAGACGAAAAAAATGCATCCGAGTATATGTCCGAGTGCGCAGTGCTGTGCAGCGATTTGCAATGCAAGCTGATTGGGAGAGAGAGGGAGAGAGAGAGAGAGAGAGAGAGAGAGAGAGAGAGAGAGAGAGAGAGAGAGAGAGAGAGAGAGAGAGAGAGAGAGAGAGAGAGAGAGAGAGAGAGAGAGGAGAGAGAGAGAGAGAGAGAGAGAGAGAGAGAGAGAGAGAGAGAGAGAGAGAGAGAGAGAGAGAGAGAGAGAGAGAGAGAGAGAGAGAGAGAGAGAGAGAGAGAGAGGGAGAGAGTGAGAGAGTGACAGAGTGAGAGAGAGAGAGTGTGTGTGTGTGTCTGCGACAGCCTGATGTTGAGTAGTTGCTTTTCCACTATGGGGGGGTTCCGGAGGAGGGCCAGGATCATGGGAGATGCATCAAAACATTAAGGGGGGTACGTTAAATAATGGCTTAGCCATTAATCAGCCTCCCCCCCACAGAAAACATAGGGGATCTCCAAATTAGCTTTTGCAACAGTACCGCCGGGCCAGTCTCCGAGCGATGATCAGGTACAGCGGCTCTTCGGGGCCGTGCCCATCACGGCAGGGACCATGGCTGCAGCCAAGCGTCTAATCTTTGAGGCCCATACCCTCGTAGTCCAAGAGTTAAAAACTCGAGTTCAGAGGGGGGACTCTGGAGCACCCTCGACGCTCGCCACAGCCGAGAGGGAAGAGCGCATCACCGAGCAGCGTGCAAGGATCACGGGCCTTTTGCATCGCGGAGCCATGCTGTCCTCGGATTCCTTGACTTATTTAGGGCCAGACAGGTTCCCGACCAGACAGTCTGAACTTCAGGGCGAGAAGCCAGGGAAGGAGCTTACCATCGACGGGAACAGTGTGACGGTGAAGGACAAGGTGCCTCGTTAATCCTGCACAACGGGGACCGAACTCGAGCTTACGCAGGCTCTGAGGCGGCGAGCATTAGCATTTGATCTAGTCAAGTGCGCCAGTTACGACACCATGAATCGGTATCACTCGTCCTTGATTCATCGGCTGCAGGAGTTGCCACCTCCTACTTATGTGAAGATTTCAGTGGCACAGGTGCTCAGGGCAGACAGGGCAGCTTTTACCCGCATCGCTGAGAGTCTGCCCTCAATCAAACGCCAGCCCGATGGGACTTTACCCTTGGACCGAGCCCTTGAGAACATTCTTCAGGATCCCAGCGTCAGTTTCCACCTGTTGCCTTTGAAAGGTGGAGAAAGCGACGATAACAAGCGGAAGTGGACAGATGATGCCAAACAGACTGATGAGGCGAACAAGTGGAAGAAGAATGGCAAGGGCAAGGGCAAGGGAAAAGGCAAGGATCAGCCGGGAGCCAAAGGGGCCAAGTTCATCAAGATGCCGAAGCAGCTAGTCGGCAAAGCCAGCGAAACCAACGAAGGCAAGAGGCTGTGTTGGGCATACAACATTGATGGGTGTCCCAATGCTGCTGACGGCGAGGAGTGCCCGCGTGGCTGGCATCTGTGTTGCGAGCCAAACTGCTTCAAGGCGCATCCGTTGCCCAAGCACCGAAAGTGACAGCCAGTCGCCTCGACTGGACCGGAGCCCAAGTCTTATCTTCAAAAAGTGATGGCTAGGGTGAAAGGGGTCTCCTTAGATGAATGTCTCGTCTTAGAGGTCTCGCCGGGGTCGGGGCGGTTGACTGCATGCCTCAAGCAGCGACAGCTTGACAACAGTTTTTCCGTTGGCAGAACAGCCGGCAAGTGCTGTGCGCCACGAATTGTTGTTGACTTGTGTGCAGAGCCGGGTCGCAAACAGTTCCAGGAGATTTTGACCGAAGAGAATTTGATGTATGTTCATTTTTATCCGCCCTGTAATACTACAAGCCGTGCCAGGTTGCGTCAATTTGCAGGAGCTCCTGCAATCCTGCGGAACGCATCCCATCCTGACGGAGTTCCGGGGTTGGGGCTAGCCGATCGTACTAGAGTGAGTGATGCCAATGCTTACCTGCGTGCTGTGGCTGCAGCCTGCAAAACATGTCACGAGCGAGGAGTGCTTTTTAGCGTGTGCAATCCAGAGTCAAGTTTCGTATGGGCTACCAAGCCTTTGCGAATTCTGCTTCAGGAAGTTCCTCTTTTCACAACGCGCTTCCACCTTTGCAGCTTCGATTCGCCATTCAAGAAAGCTATGCGAATGCTGCACTCCCTACCGAAATTCTTGGAGTTGCATCGTCCATGTGCCGGTGGACATGTACATAAGTTTCGGTCTAAGGGTGTGGGTTGTAAGTTCGACCGTGATTTGGATTTTCCTTGGGGTTTGTGCAAGGCTATGTCACAGCTTCTGCAAGACCAACTGCTTGACATGGGGGCCAAGCCTCTGCCTACTGACTTGAGTCAGACAACAGCCACAGTTGCAGCGGCCAGAGCTGTGGCTGGATGGCAAAGCAACAAGCGTGTCCTTCCTCTGGTTCCCGAGTTCAAGCATGTTGTAAACGTTACTGGGAGCTTCCCTGCTGCGTCTATGCATGGTCTTCAAGTAGGCTGCAAACTCCCTGCACCGTGGGAGGTACCTGCATCTGCAAACGTTGACCCGTGCTTCGTGTCGTCTGTGCCGCAAGGTTCCAAAGTCCTTCGCTTCCTCACGGTGCCGGGGGAAAGTTCAGAGGATGCTTCAGACGACTTGAGTGCAGGCCAGGCTGACGGCCAAGACGATTCGCTGTCGGACAAGGTTCTTCACCGTACATGTTTGAACCTTCCGACTCCGCCTGAGGATGCTCACCCTGCTGAGAAGCTTGCCTGCATCATGTTGCAGTGGACACTCGCTTCAGCCAAGAGGAGATGCGAACTCTCTTGGACATGTTGCCGCAAAAACATCAGACCAGAGCCCGGGGGAGCTGTGATGACCGGTCCAATCAGTTTCTGTGCGGAGCATATGCTCATGGGCCCATGACGGGCTGCAAAAACTTGACGCGGTGCTTTGCAAGCATGTTCGCGATAATGCTCCGGGTTTTTGCTTCTCTGCCGTGGGCTACCTGTGCAATGTGCGCGCAGAAGTCCACCGAGATCTGCGCAATGAGCCAGGAACAAAAAACTTGATCATGGCGACGCATGCTTGTGCTGGCGGTGGACTGTGGCTCGAGGAGGCAGGTGGACCCATTGCAATGGTCGTCGGGAAAACCCAACGTGCCGGGAGGTTTCGCGACCTGGCAGTTGGGAGACCCTTTATCTTTGAACCGAAGCGTTGGCATGCTACTCAACCGTGGCGTGGTGACAGAGGAGTGATCGTTGCATACACCCCAGTGGGAGTGACGAACATTTTCTGCTTGCAGACTTTTCTTTCTTTTAAAAACCTGACAGGCAGCAGAGCTGCCGTGTTTTGCATGTGAGTTTTGAAGAACATTTCTTGCATGAGAACTTTCATTGTCTTTGAATAAGCAGATCGGATACCTTTGGCTTTCCCGCGAGTCTGCTCAAAGAGAGAGGCAAGAAATTTTTCTTTGAGGCCTCTACAGTCCCGTATTGTGCAAGCTAACAGCCTCCAGGTGCTAATCTCAGGGCTTTAGCTGCGTGCACAGTGCCCCCTGTTGGGGGCGCTAGATGGACGGGACAACTCCTGCGCCTCAGTCAGCGCCAGCCACGTGCCCTGTTACAGGGCAGCTTCTGCCGCAGGTCGCCGCTCCGACTGAGCCGGCACCCTTCCCGCCTGAGCCTCCATTGTCCCTGCCGCCAGGATTGCCTTCGGCCGGTCCCGAGTCGGTGTCCGGGGGTGTTAGGGGACTTCGGGACTTCGGGGTTACGGTTGGCGATTTGCCTGGTCAATCCGTTGAGATCAGTGACGAAGACCAGGACCTCGATCAAGACCGCTCGAGTTCTCCTTGGAACCTGCTACATGAGAGGGAGCCTGAGGGCAACAGCCCTCGGGAGTTTGTATTTTCAGAGGACAGGGACTTTTCAGATTTTGATCTCGGGAGTCTTGCCAACCATGCTTCGTGGGATAAGGAACCTTCAGACTTAGCTTACGAACCTTCCCTTGCCGAGGAAAGGGAATGGTACTCTCAGGTAGGGGAAACGGATCCGACAGAACCTCATGAAGCCTTTCCCCCTGGGATTGTCCAGGGGGGGGAGGCAGTTTCTTGGTTAAGTGGTGCCGCTGCGGATAACGATGCAATACAGGCAGCCACGGTGGCCTTCTGCAAGAAGCGACGACTTGATCTGCCCTCGCAGCCTTGGAACCAGCCCAAGACCTTTCTTCAGAAGTCTTATGATGAAGTTTTTGGTTTTGTGCCTGCAGTGGGGGTGAGGGAAGTCTTCATGGGTTCTGCGTCTTCGGCAGAGCCCGCACCGGAGGCCGCCAGTGAAATACCTTGGACCGTGATCCGTCGCCTGACGCGAGTCCGGTTAACCCAGAGCGATGACGACATTCGAGATGCGGCCTTGAAACGTTTCAAGGTCTTGATACTGCTAGACCCGGAAGCTACTCGCCTTGGGGCAAGCCTGCTCAAACAAGGTTTGGGTCTGGAGCCTGACGAGGTGATCGCTTCTAGCATTGCAGATGCCTTTCGTGCCAAGGCCTCCACGACAATCCAGAAACGAGCCCTCTCGCTGCAATCCTTGGCTATCATGGCTTATGACCTAGGCTTTGAGTCACCCTGGCGCTTGACCGAGCCCCAGGCCTATGAGATCTTCAGCAAGCTTCGCAGCTCGGATGCCAAGGCCTCGACTGCCTCCCACTTCGTGGAAGCTCTGGGATTTCTGCACGGGGTGGCTGTGTTCAACTTCATGGCCTTGGACATCATTTTATCTTCAAGGGTGCGGGGCATTGCAAGAGACATGAAGCTTCACAAAGAACCGCTCAAGCAGCGAGATCCTTTATCTTATGCGAGGGTCAGAGCCTTGGAGGGGCTGATGACCAAGACTTCAACTTGGGTACAATGCGTGCTCGGCTTCATGCTCTTCTGCCTGCACTCTTGTTGCCGCTGGGCGGATGGCCAGCGAGTCAAGGGACTCGAGCTGGTGGGAGAAGGCCGTGGGCAACTTTTGATTGCGTCAGGTCTGGGGTCTAAGACGTCATTGACGGCTGACGCCCAAACGAAATTTCTGCCGTACGTATGCGTGGCTGAGGGGGCGAGCGGCCAGCCTTGGGCAAAGTTGTGGCTGCTTGCCCGTACTGCTGAAGGCCTTGACTTCTCGGCGGGGTGCCTTCCGTCGTGGTCTCAGCGTGCCAACTGCTGGGCAACGGTGCCTATGAGTTCGGAGGAGGGATCAGACCTCCTTGAGGAGTTCCTCCTTACCATTGACATGGGGGCCTCCCGTGACGAATCGATTGGTACCCACAGCTTGAAGGCTACCCTGCTTTCATGGGTGGGGTGGAGCTCCACAGTCCATTTTAGTGCCAAGGAGAAGTTGCTACTTGGGCATCACTTCAAACGGGGAGGTTCATCTAACCTCATCTATTCCCGCCAGTACTACATCTCCCTTGCAGGTAAGCTCCTTGCACTTTTCGAGAGCATTAGGGCTGGAGATTTTGATCCCGACATGTCAACCTCTGACAGAGTTGCAGCTGTTGCGTCGAGACACTTCAGCCGCCCGGAGCCAGACGCCCCGGTACCCCCGAACGAGGATCCCGACGAGCTGGAGTCGCTGGCTTCTAGGTCTGCCGAGTCCGAGGCGGAGTTCTTCGGGCATCCAACGGTGGCTACTGGATCAAGGCTCCCCTTTACGGAATGCACAGTTGACCAGTTGATGATCCACTCCCTGTCAAACATCGTGCACAAACTGAGGGATGCTTCAAGCTTCTTTTGCGGGAGGCCGGTCACCTCTAGGTACAGAGTCTTCACCACTGAAGACGAGGAGGAGCCCGAGCCGTGTATTCAGTGTCGTCGGGCATCGGAGTTTTGACCAGGTCTGAAACGCCGCAGACAAAAGCCGTATGGAGCGAGTGGTTGCAACATTCACAAATTGGGATGCCAGGACCTGTCGAAGCCTCATAAGTCTTGAAACAGTCCATGCTGATCGGCCGGCTTTTGTGCCCGTGGCCTCGGTCGTGTAGTTATGGCGCTACGATGGCATAGGGCTGATACGCCAGGTTGGGCATACCCCTTTGTGTTTTGGGTCGGTGAGTTTCTCACCCGAGACCCGAGTGATATATCTGACGACAGAACTTGTCGGTTTGACCCATGACGGCTTGAGAGAGAAGCGCTGGGATTGATTAACGCGGTGATGACTGTAAGTCCGAGTCACCACATGCAAATGTCAGCCGGTATCTCACGATGCCCGGGGCTGGCCTTGTGATCGTGTATCGCCTTGTGCCGGCCAGGGTTGGCCCGTGGCACGGGTGGATGATTGAGCTGCCCTTATTGCGGCCGTGGCTCACAGCGGATGACCATGATGGTTGCTGGCACGAGAGCATCACCTGTCAAACGTTGATCCAAGATCACCGAACTCGGGGGTTTAATCGTGATCGCTTGCAGCCATGACGTCGGCCACCTTGGACTCGGAGGCTGCTTTTCAAGAAAGGTGTCTCCGAATCGGCATGACGCCGGAGCTGTATGGCAAGCTCAAAGATAAGGGCTATGACACCTTCGGGAAGATCGCCTTTGCTGCTGCGAGCTCCCCGCAGGCCCTTACCGATGAGGCCATCGATGTGTGGTTGGCCACGGTCGTAGATCCAAGGCCTTCAGCGTTCCAGGTTTCGGTGATCAGGCGGCTCCTATTTGAAAGCCAGTCGCTCAACATGCTGACTTGCGGACCCGTGTGGAAGGCCAGCCTGAAAACACAATCAAGAAACTTCCCACTGCTGAACGAATAGCCAGACAAGAAGCTCAGCAGGCTCGCTTGAAGGGAGTCGTCTTCACGGTGTCGAACCAGCCATCCCATGCGAGCATCGATCAGGTCACCGACATGTTGGAAAACAACTCCTTGCGGTACCTGCCGATGAACAGGTGGACCTCCCGGTCACAGGAGCTGAGCTTGGCAAAGAAGGACTCATCGATCCAAATCGACGCGGAGGGAAACCTCAAGCTAGGCACTAAGGTCCCGGATCCTGTTTGCGACACAAATGGTGCTTATGCGCTTCGGCAAGCCTTCTTTCGCCGCTCGCTGGCTCTGGACCTAGGGAACCTCTGCACCTTTGAGGTGATGGAGGAGTGGGTCAACACCATCTTCGAACTGACCCAGCGGCAGGTTCCCACCGGGTACACCAAGGTCTCCTTGTCCCAGATTGTAGCAGCAGATAAGGAACTCTTCATCAGGGCAGCGAACAACCTTGAAGGAAAGCTCCAGAAACCAGTGGGAGCTACCAAGCCGTTGGATGCAGAGCTGAAGCGTTTGTCTGTGTCGCATGACATCACGCAGTTCTTGTCACCCTTGCTCACCCCGCCTCCGCCGGCCCATCCTACCAAGAGGCCCCAGGATGGTGACGACGATGCACCGCCCAAGAAGACTAAAGGCAAAGGTGACAAAGGCAACAAAGGCGGGGGCAAGGGCAAGACACCGAGGATCGAGATACCTGAAGGTTGTTCCGCACGTGATTCGCAGAACCGACCGAATTGTTTTGGGTTTAACTTGGGCACCTGTAAGGCCAAGGTGGTGAAAGGTAGGTGTCCGAAAGGATTTCACCAGTGTTGGAAAATAGGCTGCAACAAGAATCACCCGTACAGTGAATGTACGCATGGCATGCAGTGACCCAGCCAATCGGGAGGTGGGCCAGCTCCTGAGGCAGCTCCCTTGGCCCACGGTGCAAGCCGAGCTACATGCTCAGAGTCTTTCGCGAAGACTCTTAATTCAGTCAATGTGCCGCCGTCCCGTCTTGACTTGCAAAAGTTGCATGAACATCTTGTTGCGGATGGCTTGCTACGTCCTGACGCCAGAACTCAGCAACCGAATTTTGGGGTTGGGGCTTTTTCCCAGGGAGGGCTTCAAGGTCTGCGTGGTGAGTGTAAGAACTTCCCACAAACGACCAAAGCTATTACAGCTTTCGTGCGAGCTCAACTCCCGGATCTTTTCTTTACGACTGTTTTCCTGTTTTGCAATTCCATGACATCAATGCATGTAGATTCCAAGAATCATAAGTCCCCCACTGGTGTCATACCGATCGGAGCGTTCACAGGAGGCCACATCTGGGCCCAGTGTGACCATGGTTCGGTTATGCGCCCCATCAACGGCACACCGACCGCTGGCGAATTGCTTGATGTGTCTGCTGGACCCATCACCTTCGAGGCTTACTCCCGAGGCCATTGTACCGAACCGTGGCATGGCAACAGACTGATCGCTGTGGCATTTTGTGTCTCTGATTTGTCCAAACTTCCTGTTGCCGATGCAAATTCCCTTTTGTCCCTTGGGTTTAGGCCCCCGACCTCCTTGGGTTTCCCACTTCAGATCGCCGAGCAGGCGCAGCCCCCGCGACCTGATGACACGTGGATCTTCGAGATCTTTTCGGGCACTGGGGGTTTCGCTCGAGCTTGCCTCCGGAAAGGCTTCAAGGTTCTAGCCTTTGATGCTAAATTAGCCGGGGCCATGGTCCCTACTGCAAATCTTGACTTCTCCACAGACGCAGGTCGCGAGGTCTTTATGTCAATGTTGAAGCAGTGCAAACCTTTTCACGTCCACCTAGGGGTGCCGGCAGGTTCTGCGTCAGCCTCCCAGCGGGCCGCGAAACCCGATAGCCGATCACAGGGCGCCCGTTTGAGCACGCTTCGGACGCCGACACATTGCTTGGGTGTGCCCCAGATCGTGTGGTCTTCTGCCGAAGGCATCAAGCTTAGGAAGGAAAATGCCCTTTTCCGGTTCTGCTTCGATGTCATTTGCTTATGCCTCGACGCCAACATTTCAGTCAGTGTCGAAAACCCGGCCAACTCTTTGCTGTGGCATGTCTTCCAACGCTTTGCTTCTCAGGCTGCCATCAGGTGGCCGCCTAGCCAACTTGAACAGGTTATCTTTGCCATGTGTGCGCATGGGGGTGACCGCCCCAAGCAGTGCAAGCTTCTGGCTTCCAAAGGCCTCTTTTCCCCTCTGGCAGCCAAGTGCAGCAAAGATCATGAGCATGCTCCATGGTGGTCGCACTCCCGCCTCAGTGCGTGCTATCCGCCTTTGCTCTGCACACGCATGGCGGACTGTGTCTCGTCTCTAGCATCACAGTCGGGCCGGGTCCTCACGGCGCCCGATGACTTCCATGCAAAGGCCATGGCTGCAGCAGCCAAGCAAAGCAAGCGGCATGCCCCGCTCATTCCGGAGTTTCACAAGGTCACCTGGGAAACTCCCCGCTTCAAGCCAGATAAGTCTTGCAAGATCCTCCTGACCCACGTTGAGGGGGATAGTGGGGGTCAGACTTCGGATCCAAAGAACTTGAAACCTGTCAAGGTAGGCCATTGGCTCAATATGGATCAGCATGTATCGAAAGCCCGAACGTTGCAGCATCCTGTGGACAAGACGATTGCAGTTGACCCACCTGTGTGGGAAGCCGTCAACTTTTGCATGGCGCATGACTCTGCCAAAGCTAATCAGCTTAGGAAGCTTGAGCTCCTTAAGGTGAAGCTCCTTGCCAAATCCCTTGAAGAGGAAGAGACAAAACTTCATGCCTCCTTCCCGCCTTGGTTCGAGAAGGTGGTCAAAGGAAAAAGGATTTGCTTGTGGGAGTCTCTCTTGAAAAATCATGGCTTTGACGACATGGGGGTAGTGGATCTGATGAAGAAAGGGGTGCCTTTGGTAGGAACTTCGGAAAAACCTGAATGCTTTAAGACCAAGGTGGCCATGGCTTCCATGTCCGAATCAGAACTCAGGGCCACTGCCTCTTTGCGCCGTCGTGCTGCCTTGTCAAAACCGAACCGTGCGACCCCTGAAGAGATTTCGCTTCTTCAGGAGGCCTCTAACTCCGAGGTTACCGATAACTTCATAGAGGGACCCTACACCGAGGCCCAGGTCACTGAAATTTTCGGCCATTCGGATTGGGGCATCATTCCCAGGTTCGTTCTTGAGCAAGGCCTTGAGAAGAAGATTCGACCCATAGATGATGGGCATGCTTCGCAGGTCAATGAGGCTTTCACTTCCTTGATTAAGCTGGAACTTCAAGGGGCCGACTTCGTTGCGGGTCTGGCCCTGCTGATCTCCCAGGCCGAAAAGGAACGTTCAGAGCGCCTAGGTGTCGCTGCTAGGAAGTGGGTGGGTCGGACCCTAGACCTCTCAAAAGCTTATAAACAACTAGGGGTACTCCCGCAACACCGTGACATCGCCGTCATCTGCCATCCCAATGAAAATGGCGAACCGCAATTCTTTATTGCGAACGCACTGATGTTCGGCTTGACATCGTCGGTGTATGGATTTGTAAGAGTAGCTAGAAGCTTGCATTTCCTGCTGGCCAAAGTGCTGAAGATCCCTTCAGCCAACTACTTCGACGATTACCCTCTCTTCACGTTGAGAGATGGGGCCCACGAGCTTGATGGTTTAACTTCCGAATTCCTAGAATTGCTGGGGTGGCGCTTCGCCCAGACCGGGGTAAAGGGTCAACCGTACGAGGAGGCCTTCACAGTCCTCGGAATGCAGCTGGACATCAGTCGTTTGCATGAAGGTGCTGCCGTGCTGGCAAACAAGGAAGGCCGTGTCAAGCGCATTTCCGAAATGCTGGGCAGCATTTTTGACAAGGGAGCCCTGGGCAGGCATGAGGCGCAAGTTCTCCTTGGACTCTTGAACTATGCCTCAGGTTTCTTTGCAGGCCGATCCTTGAAGCCAGCGTGCCACTTCCTGCTCTCCTTGGTAAGGGGGAAGCGCCAAACGGCTGCCGAAATAAAGCGCTTCTGCAAAACTACGCAGGCTGTCTTGAGCACCACTCCACCTAGAGTCCTTCGCATCTTTGACCCTCGACCGCCCATTCATGTTTGGACGGATGGAGCTTGGGAAGATCCTTGGGCGGGAATAGGTGCGGTTGTTCTTGACACGCTAGATGATAGTGCCAGGGTTTTTGCCGGTTGTGTACCTGCTAAGCTTTTGGAACGCTGGAAGCTGGATGTGGGATCGCAACTCATATGCGAGATCGAGCTCTACGCTTTGGTTACTCTGCGTCGCATGCTCCAAAACAGCTTGTGCAACAGAAGAGTCATCTTTTGGCTTGACAACGAGGCCGCACGCACCTCAGCCATCAAAGGTTTGAGCCAGAGCGAGTCGATGTATCGCCTCGCCCATTATCTTGCAGTGATCGAAGCTGAGGCGCCTTGTATCGCTTGGTACGAGAGAGTGCCTTCCTTTTCCAACATAGCCGATCCCCCTTCACGAGGTGAGGGGCACAGCATCCTCAGCTTGGTAGGCGCCAAGGTCGTGGAAGCTTTCATCCATGATGAAAGCTCAAACCAGAGATTCCTTCATCAGGGGTTCGCGTGATGTCGGGGGCATTCAGGACGCTGCTCCCTTGATCTTGGAAATCTCAGCTTGCCAAACCCGAGATGCTTGATCATCGGTTTGGCCGGAGCTGTGGGGGCTCCTGAATCAGAATTCACCCTTGATCACCGTGCGAATAAAAAGAGTGTGGCGCGAGAGTTCTGTGAATCCTCATTTAACTTACATTGTGAGGATCTCTGATACAATATATCTTTTACTGATTGATCTTGCCATATTCCGAGATGGATTGATTTTTATATGATTGGCATCGCTTTGATACGTGATATCTGATATCACTCGACCTTTGCGAAACATCAGGTTTTTGAAAGAAGAACATTTTCTGCTTGCAGACTTTTCTTTCTTTTAAAAACCTGACAGGCAGCAGAGCTGCCGTGTTTTGCATGTGAGTTTTGAAGAACATTTCTTGCATGAGAACTTTCATTGTCTTTGAATAAGCAGATCGGATACCTTTGGCTTTCCCGCGAGTCTGCTCAAAGAGAGAGGCAAGAAATTTTTCTTTCCCACCCTCCCACCCAATACGGACGGGGGGCATTCAGGACGCTGCTCCCTTGATCTTGGAAATCTCAGCTTGCCAAACCCGAGATGCTTGATCATCGGTTTGGCCGGAGCTGTGGGGGCTCCTGAATCAGAATTCACCCTTGATCACCGTGCGAATAAAAAGAGTGTGGCGCGAGAGTTCTGTGAATCCTCATTTAACTTACATTGTGAGGATCTCTGATACAATATATCTTTTACTGATTGATCTTGCCATATTCCGAGATGGATTGATTTTTATATGATTGGCATCGCTTTGATACGTGATATCTGATATCACTCGACCTTTGCGAAACATCAGGTTTTTGAAAGAAAAAACTTGCGACTGCCGACAAAGGGTTCTTAGAAAATGTGGGTTTCCCCTTAAGTCCCTCTTCTGGTTTTAGTGATGTGCCTCCCAAGGTTGCCAAAGTACAAAAAGGAAGTATCACTTTCGGCGTGTACCATGAACCTGAGGAGTTCGTGGCGAGGGCGTTGAGCGTGCAGCATCCGTGTCATTTGGAAAGCCTTTTGCCATCCGAGCTTGTCGAGGCCATACGAGAAAATCATTCCAAAGAAGCCGCTACACTTGGGCGCGACCAACTGAGACGCTCAAGAGATGGCTTGCTCGCGCCGAGGAGTTGGAAACTGCCGAAAGCCAGTTCAAGGGATCCTTCAGCGCCCATCGACGTCAGGTCTTGTGCAACAAGAGGCTGCTCTTGATGAAAGAGATGCTTGACATGTGGGACACGAGGACGAAGATTTGATTTCTGATCTGTCGAACGGTTTCGACTTAACCGGACCCTTGCCCCGATCTAATGCCTTTAAGAATAAGTACCGCCCGGCGGCCATGGCCGAGGAAACACTTAGGAAAAGTGCGGGTTTAGTTAGGGGTCAGGTTTTGGCTTCGGTTAAAAGTTCTGGAGACGAGATCGTGGACCAAGGCGTGCTAGCAGCCACAGAGAAGGAGTTAGCCAAAGGCTTCGTTGAGGGGCCGGTGAGTGCTAGCGACATCCCTAGTGATGGGACGGTCACACATCGCTTTGGAGTGATTCAAGGGGAGACTTAGGAAGGTCCTAAAGTTAGACCAATCGACAATTACTTGAGTTCGCTTGGCCCTGTTTGGGCAGTGAAACGAACCAAACGAATTGTTCCCTGGAGGCCTGGGGGGGTGGGGGGGATGGCAGGGGCGCGGCGGCTCTTTCAGTTGTACGCCCGGCCACTGCGGCTTCGGACCACAGCCATGTTGTCATGCAGTCTTCAGTTCTGTCAGTTGCACTTATGTTCAGTCATGTCAGACATGTCAGTGCTTGCATGTTTTTCAGTCTCTTTTAGGCATGTCAGTTTTAGTGCATTTTCAGTTGGCCTTTTTCTTTGGCCACGAAACCTTTTCAGTTTTGCCTTTGACTTTTCGAACAATCTCTGGAGAGCTTTTGCGGAATCTGATCTATGCATCCGATACATTGCGGACCAATCGGGAGGGGATCTTAGAAATTTTAGTTACGGGGGGGGCGCCTTTCAGGCTTCTTCGCGCAATGGCATTATATGACGGAGGATAGGCTCTGGAATCTTCTTGAAGATACCGGCTGCACTTGCGTGAGGGAGCTGCGTTTGCATTTTGATACTCCTTGGCACCTGGCCTGCTCAGTGGACAGCTTAGAGGATTCAGTGGTCCTGGCCGAGCAGATCCTTCCGTCTGCTGTGTCCTCAGACCATAAGAGAGCTGGCGCGCTTATTTGGGGCTGGCTCCGGGATCAAACTGACTTGTTGAAGCGGGTGCAAGGTAGGCTAAAGACGAAGGCTACGAGGATTGTGGCGCCTCCTTGTGGTGATGTTTCTCCTGGTGAGGTTTATGCACAATTGGTGAGCGGCAGCCTTGAGTTAACGAAGCAGACCAGTAGGGCTCATGCGAGATGGATCTCGAGTGGGGCTGGTACGCCAGCTGATGCTGAGAAGGCTGCTAGAAAGTTCTGGGGTACAGTCTTGGTGCAAATTATGGTGGAGGCTAAGCTTCCCATCGTGGATATTCCGGTTGAAAGTGAGGAGCAAAGGGTTCTGTATGCTTTGAGGGCCTTGGGTACCCGTCGTTCGAAGACTTTGAGGAACCGGGCACGAGCTTGGCGCAAGGCTCGGGACTGGATGCTTTGAAGTCAGTTGCTTTCCCGCGGCGTCCGAGTGACGTTGTGGACTATCTCCTCTTCTTGGAGCAGGAGGTGGGCACCAAGAGCTGTATTTCGGAGTTTATGAGTGCTCTATCTGTTCTGGAGGATGCAGGGCAGGTTCCTTTGGCCAGCCAGTTGTGCAAGGACAGATTGGTGGTTGCTGCCTCGAAGAGCTCAGAGGCAGAAGTTCATGTGGGGGTCACGAGCAAGAAGCAGGCGGCCCCCTTGTCGGTGGCAATGCTGCTTTCTTTGGAGATCTTTGTGGTATCCAGCGGCAATCCATTATATGCTAGATGCCTTATGTGGGCCTGTCTGGTGTGTGTCTGGGCTTGCATGCGTGTGTCCGATCTGCAAGGAATCGACGTTTCTAGACTTAGGCTTTTTCGTGATGGGCTTAAGGGCTTCTTAGTCAAAACCAAGACAACCGGTCCCGACAAGAAGGTGGCTGAGGTTCCCTTCTTTGTGGGTCGGGATGTGGGGTTGTCTGGTCGTGATTGGCTGCTCTCGGGTTTCGACTTGTGGAAGGGCCTTGGGCAGCTGGACAGGACTTTCTTGGTGTTCCAGTCATCCGAAGATTTTGAGGAGCCGATTTTCAAGTTTGCGAAACCGGAGGTCATCAGCAATTACATGCGTTTGATCTGGCGACAGCTGAAAGTTCCTTTTCGCCAGATTGGTGAACACGTGTGGAAATCGAGAGCTGAGAGGGCCCTCCTTGGTGACGAGTGTTATTTGTTCTGGACGGGCCATAGCATGCGTCATGTTCTTCCAACCATTGCTGCTGTTCTGGAGGTTCCGAAGGAGCGGCGCGATTACTTAGGTCGCTGGCACATTGGTCTGCATCAGAGTTCTGATTACATCCATACCTGCCGTCAGATTGTGCATGACATTCAGCGCCGTGTATGCGACAAGTTGTCGGGTGGCAAACCCGGGTACGACGAGGAGGAGCTGTTTGAGGAGCTGCGCGAGTGGCTCCGCGATCGGGGTTCTGATCCTGATCCGTGGTTGAAGCTTCATGCTGTGATGCGCACCGTTTCTGGCTGCAAGGTATTGAATCAGACTTGGCCTTTATTGGCCGATTTCACCGACGGGACGGACAACGCTGCCCCGGCCCCGCCGGTTTCGAACTCATCTCAGACTGATAAGGAATCTCCTTTCTGGGTTAGCATCAGCAGGCATTCTGGTCATCGTCGGCTGCACATTAGGAATGGCTGCTGGGTCACTCCGAGCAGTTGCCACCGCTTCGCCGAGGTTTGGGAAGCCGGACCGAATGTTGCTGATAGCTTCTGTAAGCTCTGTTATAAGGAGAAAGTGGATCCGTCCTCGAGTTCGGGGGAGTCTTCGTCGACCGAGCTCGGGGAGCCGACTGAGGATAGTGGGGCCCCCGATTTGAGTTTTCACACCTGAGATCAGACTGTCAGATTCGCGTGCCAGTGCAAAGGGGTGTCAGTTTGCCTCAGTGCTTTCAGTGCCTTTTTGCCGCGTGCTGTCAGTGCTATCAGTTGCAGTTGCGGGAGCAAATCAGATGCTTGAGATGGGCAGTTTTCTGCTCAGTACTTCACGTTGTGAATCTCAGACGACATTACTATATGAGCCACTCTCAGACTTTCAGTGCTCCTTTGGGGCTGTCAGATTTCATTCTTTCAGTACTGTCAGTCTTTAGCTTCGCTCGCCTCGGAGCGACAATGGCGGCCGATCCTGCGGCACAGCGTCAGTTCTTGAAAGATAACGTCGATGCCGACTTTATCTTCCTTCTGGAAGAGCATGGTGTTGACTTAGCGTTGCAGTACGCCATTGGTCAGCATTACAAGAGTATCAGGACATTTGCTGCATTTGCCGATGATAGGGGGGCGGCTCGGACGGCCATCACCGCGGACTTCGGCGTTCGAGCTGAGAGTGCTGCAGATCGTGCTAGGATGGCGTGTGTCATCACTTCTTGGGAAGCTTCCAAATTGATTCGCGAGGAGGAAGCTAAGCTTCGGGCTGAGGCTAAGGTGTTGGGGGTCCAGAAGCCCCTCGTCTCTTCCGATCGAGCGGCTATGCGAGCTGCTTTGGAGGCGGTAAGGGGCTACTCTGTTCCAGAATCTGAGGAGCCTGCACCTGAGTACCTCGCACACAAGCTTGAGCAGATTGAGAATGGCGAGCCCACCGCTAGTTATCTTGATGAGGTTATTTCACGTAAGGAGTCCAACTCTTTGCAGCTTCAGACTTCACTGGACAATCAGGGCCGCCTTCGTGTTATGCGCCAGAAGCCCACGGGGAAGCTCCCACAGAACACTGAGGAACTCCGAGCGAAGATTCGGCTCGAGGCATCAACATGGGTGATGTTGGCCGCGAAGTGTCGCGGTCGTGCCTATTTGCAGGGATTGCAGTTGTCACATTTTGATCGTTTCTTGGAATATCTTCTGGGAGACAAGTGCTACAGCATGCAAGTCGCATCGGCGGCTCCCATGAGTTCTTCTGCACATGCTGATCGTCACACTTTGTCTGTGCCCTGGAATATCTTGCTTCAGTATGAATTCGAGCTTCGTAAATGGGCCATCAAGGAGGCACATCGTTTGAGTGCCCCGCTGGGTGACAAGCTGCATGAGGCTACCACCAACACCGAGCTCAAGGAGCTGCATTTTACGTCTCAGGTGGCATTGTCTCGACGCTCGACCGGCGCCGACCCTCCGCCACCAAAGTGGCCCCGCAAGGGTGACGGCAAGAAGGGAGAAAAGGGCGGTAAAGACAAAGGTGGCAAGGACGGAAAGGGCAAGGCCGATGGCAAGATCAAAATCGGCGAGTCATGGTTCGATCTGGTCTCGAAAACACCGGACGGACGTGAGTTGTGTTACGCTTACAACATCAAGCGTGGGTGTCAGGTCAAGGGATGTCAGCGAGTTCACGCGTGCAGAGTCAAGGGTTGCCAGGCGAACCACCCGGCATACCAGCATGGCGCGCAGGGCGGCTCCTGACTTCGTCGTGATGAGTTTAATTCAGTTTCGGATTCCACTTCGGGTGTGCGCCCTTCGCTGCGGGTCCTCTACTTGTTTTCTGGTCCTACTCGAAAGGCGGATGTTCGCGCCTGGCTGGAGGTCCTATGCACGTCACAGAACATCATTTTGGAGATGTCCGAAGTCGACATCTGCCGTGACCCAAGTATGGATTTGCTGGACTCTGCAGTGGCTGATCGGTGCTTGCTTCAAGTCCAAAATTCGGAGTGGGACGTGGTCTTGGTGACTCCGCCCTGCAATACCTTTTCTCGGGCACGATGCGTACAGCCGGGTCCTCGGCCACTGAGATCACGTATTTACCCTGCGGGTTTTCCTTGGCTTTCAGACTCACATCGTGCTGCAGCGGATAATGGCAATCAGTTCGTTTCCTTTTCTTTTCAGATCTGCACGGCTGCCCTTTCGAATTCTATTCCTTTTCTGTTGGAGCACCCTGAAGACCTGGGTATGACAACCACCGGTCACACACCGGCATCTATTTGGCAACTTCCAGAAGCTGCTGCACTTTTTACGCACGAGCAGGTCGTGACTTTTGCGATCTATCAGTGTCACTACGGAGCCCACACGCCGAAACCCACCAGGTTTCTTTCTTCTATCGCAGCCACCTTTGGCATGCGATTCATGGGGCCTCCTCGTTTTGATTCTGCGGACAAGTATCTGGGGCCTCTGCCCAAGTACTGTGGCCACCGGCATTCCAATCGTCTTTTGGGTGCCGCCAACACTGCTGCTGCTGCCGCCTATCCGCCTGATTTATGCAAGGCTATCGCTTCCTGGACCTTCTCCGTCTTCGATGGGGGAGGAGGTGCACCCTCGGTGGCTACGGTTCCCGAATCTGCTCACTGTTTTCAGTTCCCGGCTAGGGAGGTTGAGGTTAAAGTGAGTTCTTCACAAGCGGAACAAATGGCTGCGGTCTGCTTGGGAAAGGGTAGGATCGCTCGGGATCAACTTCTCCGCCTCTCAGAGCTCCTGCCGGATGAGGATAGAGTCAGGCAGTCCAGCAGAGAAGTCAGTGGCCAGCGATCTTTCACGACGGGCGCTTACACCCACCAGGACAAGGTGGGGCTCAGGCGCAACATTGATGTTTTCCCTCTGGCATCGGAGCTGCTGGCACGCCTCGTGTCTTGCGGCTTCCCTGATTGCGTCTTCACTTCATTAGCATTCTTTCGTGACCTTATAAGCAGCCCCCCCATAAGGACACCACGAATGGTCCATTCAACAATTTGTTGCTGGCCTGTTCGGAGTTTTCGGGAGGGGGCCTCTGGGTTCAGTCTGAGGGAGGCCCGGTTTCTCGTTTTATTAACGGCTCCTGGACCCCTGGACGCATACTGGAATGGGACGGGGGCACGGTTCCCGAATCTGCTCACTGTTTTCAGTTCCCGGCTAGGGAGGTTGAGGTTAAAGTGAGTTCTTCACAAGCGGAACAAATGGCTGCGGTCTGCTTGGGAAAGGGTAGGATCGCTCAGGATCAACTTCTCCGCCTCTCAGAGCTCCTGCCGGATGAGGATAGAGTCAGGCAGTCCAGCAGAGAAGTCAGTGGCCAGCGATCTTTCACGACGGGCGCTTACACCCACCAGGACAAGGTGGGGCTCAGGCGCAACATTGATGTTTTCCCTCTGGCATCGGAGCTGCTGGCACGCCTCGTGTCTTGCGGCTTCCCTGATTGCGTCTTCACTTCATTAGCATTCTTTCGTGACCTTATAAGCAGCCCCCCCATAAGGACACCACGAATGGTCCATTCAACAATTTGTTGCTGGCCTGTTCGGAGTTTTCGGGAGGGGGCCTCTGGGTTCAGTCTGAGGGAGGCCCGGTTTCTCGTTTTATTAACGGCTCCTGGACCCCTGGACGCATACTGGAATGGGACGGGGGCAAGATTACCTTCGATCCCCATGTCTGGCATTGCACTGAAGATTGGAGGGGCTGCAGGCTGGTCTTGGCTGGCTATACCATTGCGAATGACGACCGACTTTCTCCTGCCGACAGGGATAAACTTGGATCTATGCACTTCGAGCTTCCGGGCAAACGTAAGAGGGGATCGGCTGATTTCTTGATCGACACGGAGGAGGTTGCGACGTTACCTGAACAGGATGACATTCCATTCAGTGAACTGAAGTCTGGTTGCGAAGGGCCACCGATGGTGGGGGATTTCGCTGGGTCCTCGGATGAGTTCGTCGATGGGTTTGGTCGCTGCTCTCCTGGTCGGTGGAAGCCATGCAACCGGGGCACGGCGATGTCCGCTGAATCCTTAGACTTTGCGCAGCGCTTGAAAGAGAGGGTCAGGATGTTCGTCGTGGAGTGTGTTCCGGACTTGGCGAAGTCGACTTTTCGTCTGGCGACGGGACACTGGAACGGGCCGCTCTTTGACCAGGGTCGCTTGGAAGAACTGAGGGAGGACTGGTTCAACATGCTGCCTGATCCCATCCGGGCTCGGGAGATGATTCCTCATCAACCCTTCTACTTGAGGGCGATTTCCTCAGACGCTTCGGATTCTTGGAGACCCAGACTATCGCATCATCGAGGAGGGGAAGTTCTGCTTCGTGAACGGTGTCGAGGTGGGGCACACGGCGCCATTGGGGCCAGTGCCTCAAGTGTTCCGGATCCGCAGAAAAGATCAGAAGTACGATGAGTCAACTTGGCAGCCGCTGATGCAGAACTATCGTGATGGGGCTGAAGTCGAGAAGGCCTTGGAGGAGGCTTTCACCAAGGAGGAGGCAGAAGGACGCATGTTCCCGCTTTCTTTGGCGGAGGCGAAGACACGCTTCCCTGGTACTGCGCTTCGCATTGCCGCTCAAGCCGTGATTCCGAAACCTGACCATGAATTCCGTGTGGTCCATGATGGGACCCACGGGGTTCACGTCAACAATGAGATTGTTATGCTTGACCGTCTTGAATCGCCTGGACCAAGGGAGATTTCTTCGATTCAGAAGCTGGGCATGGTGGCAGAAGAGAAAGTCCTGTTCGGGCTTGTGGGAGACGTGAAAAAGGCGCACAGGCGATATTTGCACCACCCAGAGCATTGGGGGGTGCTCGCTTGTAGAACGCGGAGCGATTCATCAGTCGTATGGCTTAACCGCACAGGAACTTTCGGAATGGTTCGCCCGCTTGATTGGTTTGGTGGGCCGCTTGTCTCTCAGAGTTATGCTTCAGGCTTTTGTTTTCATGCTTATTTATGCAGACGACCTACACCTGCTCAGCGGCGGTTCAGATCGATGGCTCAACCTCTGGATGTCCCTTGCCCTTTTGTGCATGCAGGGCACACCCTTCTCGGAGAAGAAGTGGCGCGGGGGACTGCAACTTGATTGGGTCGGTTACTGGATTGATTATGGCCGCTTTAAGCTTGGGATTTCGGAAAAGAGATGCCAGTGGATCATCCGATCGATTGAGGGCATGGAGGGAGACGGCTGGCTTGTGGACGTTCGCCGTTTTCACGAACTCCATGGCCGGCTAGGCTTTATGTCGCAAATCTTGATATGGATCAGACCCTTCCTCGCGCCGGGCTACGCATGGCTAGCGGTAGTCAGCAAAGGTGCTGTATTGGCACTGCCCAACTTGATCCGCTGCACCCTGCGATTCATTCTTGATCGGCTCCGCGCAGGTTCACGAACGTATCCTGCGGGGCTGGCGGATAAGGATTATGGGGAACTCTTCAGAACCGACGCCGCTTGCAACTCTGACTCTGTGGTTCTAGGCGGTTGGTTCCTTGTCAGGGGTGTTGTCTGTAAATCCGCTCCTTGGTTTCAGATTACGCTTCGTTGCGAGGAAGCCCCTTGGCTCTTCAAGGAAGGTCTTGGGAGCTCCTGGGCCAGTACCTCTGCTGAACTGCTATCCTCGCTGGTAGCGCTTCATCTGCTGGAGAGGGATTTTCCCGAGGTGTTTTCATGTCCTGGCTCTTTCAGGGCCTGCTTCGCTGGTGGAGCAGACAACAAGTCGGCGGATGCCATTTCTGCCAGACTTCTCACGACAAAGGTCCCTGTGATGTTTGTGCTGATGGAATACGCTCACCGCTGCGACTTGGCCGGGGTCAGATGTCTCTTGAACTGGAGGCCGCGTGATGCGAATCAGGAGGCAGATAGGATCACGAAGAATGATTTCTCAGATTTCTGTCCGGACCTTCGGGTCACTGTCAGCTGGAGTGAGTTGAACTTCTCAGTGCTTCCGTCTTTACTTCGATTCGCGAACTTTCAGAGCACTCTGGAGGATGCGCGTGCCTCTGCTTCTGGCGAAGGACAATCTCCTTCTCGCATTCGTTTCGAGAAGAGTCAGTGGGGCTGAGGCACATGACGATGCCTCTTCGTTGAGTGGGGATTGATGCTTTCGGCATCGTCTCCCAAAAGTTTCATATGCATGACTGGTATGGGCTGTGCGATCCAAAACATGTCGTTGCGCGTTCTTGCTTTCCATCCCCAACATCCTGAACCCCAAACTCCTGAACCTCTGAACTTTTAGCCCTTCGGGCTTTTGGAATGTTTAACTACGCCTCCAGGGTACAAGCCCTGTTTGGGCAGTGAAACGAACCAAACGAATTGTTCCCTGGAGGCCTGGGGGGGTGGGGGGGATGGCAGGGGCGCGGCGGCTCTTTCAGTTGTACGCCCGGCCACTGCGGCTTCGGACCACAGCCATGTTGTCATGCAGTCTTCAGTTCTGTCAGTTGCACTTATGTTCAGTCATGTCAGACATGTCAGTGCTTGCATGTTTTTCAGTCTCTTTTAGGCATGTCAGTTTGAGTGCATTTTCAGTTGGCCTTTTTCTTTGGCCACGAAACCTTTTCAGTTTTGCCTTTGACTTTTCGAACAATCTCTGGAGAGCTTTTGCGGAATCTGATCTATGCATCCGATACATTGCGGACCAATCGGGAGGGGATCTTAGAAAATTTAGTTACCCACCCTACCCGCCCTTTTAGTTCTCGTTTTCAGGACTGTTCAAAACAGCCCATACATACATGGGGATTGATGCTTTCGGCATCGTCTCCCAAAAGTTTCATATGCATGACTGGTATGGGCTGTGCGATCCAAAACATGTCGTTGCGCGTTCTTGCTTTCCATCCCCAACATCCTGAACCCCAAACTCTTGAACCTCTGAACTTTTAGCCCTTCGGGCTTTTGGAATGTTTAACTACGCCTCCAGGGTACAATAAATTCGGTTGTATCCCAAAGTGAACAAGTGCCCGTTCACACCTGGCATGTTGGCGATGTGGTTGCACTTGTCTCCTTTGAAGTCTTTGCGCGCGGGACTTGTGTGCAAATGCTGGGACCTCAGTGCCGCGTACAAGCAACTACCGCTCAGTGACAAAAGTTTCGAAAAGGATAGCTTTTTTGTAATCTTCTGCCCCCGCACTCGCAAGCACGTTATCTACAAGCAGCGGGTCATGCCCTTCGGGGCAAAGGCGTCAGCAACCGCTTTTATCCGTTGTGCATTCGGAATTTGGCGGTTGGGGGTAAAGACAATCTCACGTTCGTGATATCCTCTTATCCTTTTGCCAACAGGTGATATGTTCACCGTCCTTTCTTTGTAATCGTGTTCCCACACTTTTGAGAAAGTGGTCATGTTGTTGCCGTTGCACAAATGTGTTTTGGGCATGCCTCATGATGTCACCTCTTTGTTTTGAAAAGTAGTCGGACACGCTTTTATGTTCATGGACTACTTTTCAAATTTGTGACCTTTGCTGTGTGATGGAACAATGCTCCGCTGAAGGTCTTGGCTCTGTATGCGGAGCTCACATGTGAAAATTTTGAGGCCTCCATGTCCCCTTGACTGTCTAACAGGTCTCAGGTGCTAATCTCGGTGTTGGGGCTAGCCCACACGTGCGTGCATGGGCAGCGAGGCCTCATTGGAGCCTGAGCGTGACGGCGTGTCAAGCGCAGAGTTGTACCAGCTGATTCGTGGGTTGCATCAGAGGGTCCTTCGTCTTGAGAATCAAGTTGCGGGATTGCTTGCGAACCACGGTGCCGACGTGAGTGACTCTGACAGTCAGCTTTCCGTCCTTGACATTACTTGCATTTGGGGCTCCCCGAATACTCTGGCTACCCTCTGGGGCTTCTGTGACGCTCCATCCAGGGCACGCCTGCTCCAGCTGTCAGGTGACATATCCTTCGATCAGGTCCGTCCACAGTTGCATGCATTGCTGCTTGCTCAGGGTTTCCCTGCACCCTGAGCCATGGACCCTGCACAGGGTCATGCGGCCATGGATCGCGCACTGGACGCGGATACTCCACCGCCCGTAGGGTTTCGGATGGGGGACTGGTTTCGGGCTAGGATTAGGTCTGCTAGGGCACCATATCAGCCTTCAGTGCACCATGCAATGTCTGTCTTGAGCGCTGCTGCAATTGATATGCCGCTTCCTTGGGAATCAGGTTCGTTATCGGCTGTGCTTGGTGCAAGAGGGTTCCTTCCTTCGCCAATTGTACCATTGGTGGCGGAACAGGTTGGCGACCAGCCACAGGTGCGGGAAACGGCTCAACGAGTTAGAGCGTCCAAGGAGCCGTGGAAGGCTTCGGTGGTCCACTCTCGTGCCTGGGCGGATGTGGAGGATTTGTGGAAGCTCATTGTACTGACTTCAGGTCGAGGGACCAAGGTTGGCCGGGATCTTGTAAGGATGCAGAGCGAAGGCTCTCCGGCAGCCGTGGTCGAGCAGTGCCTCCGTGATGTGTTTTCGGCGAAGTCAACTTCCACCCTCCGGTCAAGGGCCTCCAGCTTGGCTCAGTTCTCCAGGTGGCGAGCATCGGTAGGGCTCGACCCCGCTGTGTTCCCTCTGGAGGAGTCCGATGCCTACCTTTATCTCTGTTTCCTTAGGACTGAGGGGGCACCCCGTTCAAGGGCGTCCCGGTTCCGCGAAGCTGTCAACTTCTCTGGGGCATTGCTCGGTGCAGATGTCAGTGAGACTGCAACCTCGGCTAGGGTCCAAGGGGCTGCAAACCCGCAAACCCAGACGGTTGTAGTGCGCAAGAAGCGGCCACTGACAGTGGCCCAGGTCCGGGGCTTGGAGGAGTGCGTCCTCAGTTCTCCTAATGATTTGGCTGCAGTGCTTGCGGGATTCGCTTTATATTGCCTTCATGGCCGGTTGCGTTGGAGCGATGCTCAACATACTGAAGCCGAGCCTGTTCTGGACTTGCATGAGGGAAAGGGCTTCTTGAATGCACAGTTATACCATCATAAGACTGCCAACCGTGGGTCGCTTGCTCGGCATAGGCTGCTGCCAGTTGCATGTGTCACTCCAGGCTTGGCCGAGGGAAATTGGGCTGAGGCTTGGTTAGCTCGCAGGCGAAGGCTCAACCTTGTTGCATCCCGCGGCACTCCCATGATGCCGAGACCGTTGTGCCAAGGAGGGTTCGATGTTCTGCCTCTCGACCCTTCGCTGGGGGCACTGTGGCTTAGGGAAATCCTAAAGGAGTGTGCGC